AAGCTGTTATGTTGCCGTGGTGGTATCAATTTTGGCGTGGCGCCCCGCCATGGAAGAATGAATGTAGCGGAAACCATGGACTTACATTCATAAGCATGCAACTGCGTCAGACCAAAAACACAAGGTCGAGCTCCAAGTTTTGCATGCGACAAGTTTTGCTGTTGAAAGTTCAAGCTTGGTGATCTCTCACCTGTGAAATCACATCACATGACTGTCTGAGAGCAATCGAAGATCAAAACATCACCTCTCCTGACAGAAATTTAAACTATGGACAACCGGGGCTCATTGTGGAAACGTAGTCCCGCGGACGTTTCTGGAGACCGTGTAATACGTCCCGGCGGGTATGTACGGCTGCAGTTTTTGTTTTCGCGAATCCGTGAGAGGCCGCTGTTGTGCGCTTTTTCGCTTCTCAGACGCCTCTCGCGAGTGCGGTTCGCGCCCGTGTTGTTCTCGCATGAACCCGCTGGAGGCCGCTGTCCGACTGACCGGATGATTGACTGCACGACCGGCCAATCGGCCGACCCGCCCTTCTCCTTCCCCAAACCCAACCAATTTTACCGATCGACCCGCCCGCCCACTCGCTTCCCTAAACCCGAGCAACAGTTTACAAAAAGCCGTCCAAAAAAATAAAGCCCCGATTTTTTTTTTTTTTCTAACTTACCGCGTTTTCGAATTTCACCGCGTTCTCACCCTGTCACGAAACTCGTTCACTTAATTTTTGGGATCCTGTTTTTGTCTTACCTGATTGCTGGAACTGCTCTTCCCCGGACTCGAAACCGATCGCCGTGGTCGACTCCTCTCTGCATCTCGAGCCTGCAGCGGGGAAGCCCTACACAAGGAGGTAAGGCAAGCACGAAAGGGAACAGCGTCACACCGCCCTGCAGCGTTCGCTTGAAAAAAATAAACGCGGTTGTACATACCTCCCGGGACGTAATCCGCTGTCTCCAGAAACGTGGGACAACGTTTTCAGAATAAGCTTGGATTGACTATGGACCAACCGCTCGCTTTTTTAATGTCGAATCATCTTGTTTAATCCCACCTACAGAATTTTGGATGCACAAACTCTAGTGCGACCACTGTCAGTGAAACCATTACGAATAAGCCCACCTGGAATCTGTCCGCGCAGAATTCAGCAGATTTTTAGCCCATCATTAATTCTGTTTATTTACTTGAGTAAATGTGTGTAAATCTATATTTATTCCGTTTTTTTATTCATTTCAGTAATATTATTGACTAATGTGAAAATGTTCATCTGATTTATGCACTATGCAGTTTGTACAGAATTATTTTCTGTCTTTTACTAGAGATATTATATGAGACACTTGCCTTATTTATCAAATAAAGTGAATCTATGGATTTGCATTCAAAACAATAAATATAAAATTAAATTAAAATTACAATTAAATTAAATTTTAAATTAAAATTAAAATTAAATTAAATTAAATTAAATTTTAAATTAAAATTAAATTAAATTTTAAATTAAATTAAATAAAAGTTTAAAATATATTATTTTTATTTCATATATTAAGGTTTTAGTTATGATACTCCCAAAATAATTCTGCAGAAATCTGCAGACTTTTACCAAAATTCTCCACAGAAATGGCAAAAAACATCCTCAGATTCCGTCTGGCCCTACATATCAGTTATACTTGCCTGTCTATTCCCTGTGATCTCCAGTGTCTGCGACTCTCCTCCTTGTGCGATTCTCTCCTAGTCTCCTCTGGATTCTCCAATTCCTGTGTTCCTGGCTCCATATCATCTGGTCCACTGCTTCATCATATCCTGCAATAGACATTACCTGTTCATATCAATTCCTGTCCATTATCCAAATAAACTGTTACTCACACTCAGCCCTGGGGGCTGTTCCATAAACCAAGCTTAGAGTAAAAGCCAGGCTTATCTTGGTAAGTCAGGTTTATTAATGGCGAATTCAGTTTCATAAGTCAAATTTACCAAAGTTCAAACTGAGTTATAAAGACAATAAATGAATGAATAAACTGATCATCTTCAATTAATCGCAACCAGAAAATCTAAGCCTGATCTCCATATGACTCCAGTAATGATCAAACTGGGCCTTCAATACAGACGTGTGCTTCTCTAGAACATTCCTCTGGGCTTCTCCAGGATAAACACGCCTGTTTCCATGACGACGAGTGGCAGAACTCGCTGAGCAAACACTGAAGCGCCAGTAAAGGAGTCTGAAAACACACGGGTTTATCAGACCCTGTTAAACTGATGTTGAACAATCACTCAGTCTGCTCCATCTGGGTTTATTTATATTGTATTATAGTATTTTATACAATGATTATTCAAATAAGTGATGTGTGACGGTTCACATTTTCAAACATAATAGTTTTAATAGCTCATTTCTAATAACTATTTGTTTTCTGCTATGATGACAGCACACACTATTTTACTAGATATTTTGCAAGATACTATTCAGATTAAAGGGTTAAATCACCTAAAATGAACATTTGCTCACTGTTTACTCTTCCTCGAGTGGTTTCAAACCTTTATGAGTTCCTGTTCAACACAAAAGAAGAAATTTTAAAGAATGTACTCTACTGTTTCTATTTGAGCGCTATTATTTTAATTATTATTGTTATTTTTATTATTTTTTTAATCCTAATATATTAATTTGTTCATTAATTTTCCTTCAGATTAGTTTCTTTATTCATCAGGGGTCACCACAGCAGAATGAACCGCCAACTTACTGTATTCAGCATATGTTTTACACAGTGGATGCCATTCCAGCTGCTCTTCTGTACTGGGAAACACCCATACACACTCAGTCTCACACACACACACTCATACAATACGGCCATTTAGTTAATCAATTCTCCTATAGCACATGTGTTTGGACTGTGAGGGAAACTGGAGCACCCGGAGGAAACCTACACCAACACGAGGAAAACATGCAAACTCCACACAGAAACGCCAACTGACCCAGCTGGGACTCGAACCAGTGACATTCTTGCTGTGAGGCAACAGTGCTAACCACGCAGTTGGCGTTTCTCCCAGCTGGGTCAGTTTGCATGTTCTTCCCGTGTTGGTGAGTTAAATTGTCAACGTTTTCCTGCTTGTCACATGAAATATTTGTAAAAAGAATTAAATATTTGTCATATGGGCTACAAATTGTGTCTTTAACTGTATATTTTATATATTTTGTATATTATAATTTTTGTTTGTGCTTTCTCCTACTTTTATTCTAATCGTTTTTTAATTTTTTGTTTTAGTTGTTTTAGATATTCAACGAAAACTATTTGTAATTTAAAATTCTATTCATTTTTAAGGGCTTTCTCTGCTAAAAAAAAGGCTGATTTAAGCTGTTTTTTTCAGCAGAGAAAGCACTTAAAAATAAATAGAATCTAAAAATACAAATAGTTTTTGACCGGCCTGATTTTAGAGGGGGTTTAGAGAAGTTTTGGCCATTTCCAGCCTGGTTTAAGCTGGACATAGCTGGTTTTGTCAGGTCTTCCAGGCTGACTAGGTAAAGTCTAGATCAGATATGAACATTAATAAAGCAGCATTTTTTTATGACACTGTATAATAATAATTAATATTTTTACAGTACTGTGAAGGTTGGGGTTAGGGTTGGGGTTAAAAAAAGTTGTTAAAAATACAACTTATTGGGTAATTAAATAGATAACATAAATAATACTCGGTACAACTACTGTTTTTACATTACTGTGACGGTTAGGTTTAGGGTTGGGGCAGACGTAGATAAAATACATTTAAAATAAATTTAATAAATAATATAAGTAATTCTGGTTAACTTCTGGCCGCAAACGTATCCGATCTAGCAACAACTGCCTGGCTAGGATGGCCGAGCTGGTTTTAGCTGGTCATTTCCCAGGCTGGAATGGCCAAAACCGCTCTAAAACCAGCCAGGTTGACCAGCTAAAACCTGCCAACCAGACTAGAATTGTATTTTTTTATTGCATAACATGAACAATAGCATACAAAAAAATGAGTATTATAATGCTTACATTTTTTTCAAATCAAAGGAACAAATCAGTCCAAAATAAAAATAAAAACTAAACAAATAAAAAATACAGGGGATAAATAACAAAATTCACATAAGAAAAGGATTCCAAAATTGCAAACATCCTAATAGCTTTTTTATTTTTTTGTGTCTTTTAGGGTTTCGATATAATGCTTAAGATCAATTTTAAACAAATAAATATTAGGCTTATCATTGGACAATTTTTGTTTGTGTACATGGTACTTCCCATATATTACCATTCAATTAATAAACAATTTTTGCTCCAAAGATTTGTTCTTGTTATTATTATTGTATATCAAAAAATATATTTACAAAAAGCTGAATTTTTAATTTTGTAAGTTTAAAAATAAGATATTAAACATCAAACCAAAACATTTGGGTAACATATGTGCATTAAAAAACAGGTGTTTTATTGATTCCTAGAATGATTTAAAGCTGTTATTTTCAGCAGGGTTTGTCATATTTTTATTATTTAAACTGTATATAAACCTGTGTCACTTCAAGTAGGCTAGTTGCCACAGCAATATTGCAAAGTTACAAATAGTTAATTAATAAATAATATCAATATTTTTAAAAAAGTATTTTCAAACTAATCACACATTCAGAATTTGGGGGAACGTATATAAAGTTTAGGAACAGGCTATTGAAAAACAATATTATTTAGTTTATATTCTATATTGGCCTATTGTGTATTGTTATGTTAGTGTTAGTTGACATGTTTACAACAGTGGAGCGTCAGTTGAGGACCGTCAGAATTCAGTGTTAGCATAAATATTAAGCTAGTAACGACTGCTAGTTGCAAAATAACTACAGTCAACACAATGTCTGAAGGCATCCATCACAATAAATCTGACCTTTTAGACTTACAGAAACGCGTGTGGATCTCAAATAAACCCAAATACGGTGTTCGAGGAGCGTGTCGAGGTGATGTAATGCCGCCAAACATTCACATGACGGAGAGTTTGTGGGGCAAAAGGGCAAATGAGGCTGATCTTCCCGCCCCTGACAACCATCACAAAGCCACACACAACAGCAGCAGAAGCACTCACGGTCACCGGCATGACGGAAAACTCCACTTAAACACGGTAAAAACCCTCTTGAAACACCGTATAAGCCCTCATGTGAGGGTATCGATCCCGATGACGTCACGGCGGCAGAGGCGCGCGCCCCGGAGCGGTTTATTTCCCGCAGCAGGTGTCCTGACGAGGCTTTAACAGGTGAGTTAAACAACACCACACTGGAAAACTCTACAGCACGCTTAAAGTAATCACTATGGTGTTTTTAAACCATAATATAGTTAAAGTAGCTACTTAAAAGAACCGGTTGTGGTAATTCTGTGTAGTTGCTGTGGTACAACTAATATGATACACTAGTTTTCTATCAGGTAGACTATATACTACAATACAACACAGTTTACTGTAGTAAAAACTAAAGTATATTAAAGTTTATCAGTTAATTATAGTCAATACTTCATGTTTAAGCCATTATTATTAACACACAGTGTAATTTATGTTACTAGATGGATCAAAAACACTAGTATTTATTTTCTGTACGTCTTTCATGTTGGACCGATTAAGCTGTCAGAATTATTAGGCTACAGACATCAATAAGCTTATTTATTTATTAATTTATTTATATACAGAAGTTTTGATGAACCCGAATATGTTTTAAGGACAAACATGATTCAGTTTGTCTTCGTTTACTATTTATCGGTTTTATCAATTCTAATAACGGAGGATAATTAAATGTAACAATTATATAAGAACATTTATAAATGATGTTTATAAAGATATTTACAATTATAAAGATAAATAAATCACACCAGAATGAATCGAGATGATTCTAGTTTGTTAACAGTTAAGCTGAAAATATGAATGTTATTTGTATTAGTTTAACAATTATCTAGATAATTAGATATAGAACTGAAAACATTTATCAGAAGTCCACTATAGCTACTTGTAACTTATAGCAACTGTTCAGAAGTCAGTAATCAGATTTCATGGCTGTAGTTAATGCATTTCCTTTAAAAACAAATACAATGCTGGCACGGCACTATTACTGTAGATACTTTTGTGTGGTGGAGTTGTATTACAATGCTAGTGCCGTATATTGGATGTTGCTCTATCTACTCTGTGAACAATTACTTTTTTGTAAGTTGTAAGAGTATATTTAGCAAAAAAAAACTCTTTTGTAAAGTATACTTTTATGTTACACACCATTTCTTTGTGATTAGCATGTATTTGTCATGTAATTTATGAATTAATTCAGGAATTAATACAGTATATGTAACATGAGAATGTTGATTTAAAGGGACAGTACACAAAAAGTTCCTCGGCTTTTACTTACAATCAAGAGGTTGTAAACTTTTATGAGTTTCTTTCTTTTGTTGAACCCAAAACAGGATATTCAGATGCTGAATGCTGTGTAACAAGCCATTTATAATCAAAAATAACATGGCTGTTTTTCCCCAGCATTCTTCAGTATACCTTCCTTAGTTTTTAATTGGAAAAAACTTATCTGTTTAAAGTCCACTTGAAATCAAAATGTACAATGTTTATTTTGCATTCTTTAGGTGAACAATTAATCTGTGTAAATTAATCCACTGAATAAAACTGTTTTGGTAATCTTCAGTCTGAGCATCTGCTGCTGCATTTGGATTGGCTCTTTCTCTGATGATGTCAGTTTGAGGCTTCAGACACAATATTCTTAGCCACGCCCCTCTTTTTGATGAGGGAATGATTGACAAAAAGGAAGTCCCGGCCCCTACTCAATATGTAGTTTCAGCTGTAAGTACATCAACATACTGAAAGAAAACCCCGCCCCTACTTAATATTCAGTTTCAGTTGGAAGAACATCAGCATACTGAAATAAAGCCCCACCCCCTACTCAATATTCAGTTTCAGTTGGAAGTACATCAATATGGTGAAATAAAGCCCCGCCCCCACTCAATATTCAAGTTGTTGGAAGTACATCTGCACACTGAAATAAAGACCCGTCCCTACTTAATATTTAGTTTCAGATGGAAGTAATAATAATAATAACAATGAAGTACATTAACAAACTGAAATAAACCACCACCTCTCAATACATTAGCATAGTGAAATAAAGCCCCACCCCCTAGTTAGTATTCTGTTGCAGCTATAAGTACGTCAACATACAGAAAGACAACCCCTCCCCTACATAATATTCCGTTTCAGTTGGAAGTACATCATCATACTGAAATAAAGCCCCGCCCCCTACTCAATATTCAGTTTCAGTTGGAAGTACATCAATATGGTGAAATAAAGCCCCGCCCCTACTCAATATTCAAGTTTAGTTGGAAGTACATCTGCATACTGAAATAAAGACCCGTCCCTACTTAATATTTAGTTTCAGATGGAAGTAATAATAATAATAACAATGAAGTACATTAACAAACTGAAATAAACCACCACCTCTCAATACATTAGCATAGTGAAATAAAGCCCCACCCCCTAGTTAGTATTCTGTTGCAGCTATAAGTACGTCAACATACAGAAAGACAACCCCTCCCCTACTTAATATTCCGTTTCAGTTGGAAGTACATCAACATACTGTAATAAAGCCCCACCCCCTACTTAATATTCAGTTTCAGTTGGAAGTACATCAACATACTGTAATAAAGCCCCACCCCCTACTTAATATTCAGTTTCAGTTGAACGTACTTCAGCATACTGTAATAAAGCCCCGCCCCCTACTCAATATTCAGTTTCAGTTAGAAGTACATTAACATACTGAAATAAAAGTCTCAGCAACTTTCAGTTCACCCAGGCTTTAAGACATTGATTCACATGTAACTAGAGAAACATTTAACCGTGTTGTGTCTGCTGTGCTCCTCAGGATCCTGATATATGAATCTGAAGGCCATGTTTTGTGATGGACATGAATGGGAAAGGCTGTAACCTGATGGTTTCTCCGTCCGGCATGGCTCAGATATCTCCGCTGAAGGTCCACACTCCTGCATCTCTCTATCCAGAATCAAACTCAGCTCAGAGTCTCCGCCGGCAGGTGCTCACCAATGGAAAACTGGGCTTTCCACAGCCATCCCGAGCTCTTCATCAACAGGCTCCACAGATTTCACTCCCAGCATCCTCCTCCTCCAAACAGTCTGCTCGACAATGCTGTCAGGACAGCGGTATGAAAGGTAAAAACAAGAATTGGCATCCCAGGTCTTGGAGGGCTCCAATTTTGGCCTTTTTAAGATGTAAAATTACTTGTGTCTCCAGAATGTGTCTGACGTTTCAGCTCAAAATACCCTCACTGTTAAGAGCGATTAGTTGACTTTACCTTCAAAATGTGAGTTAACTGGTTGCCTTATAGTTATTAAGTAAACAAATTATGCACATAATTATAAAAGTTAAGTCAATGGCAATTGTCAGAAGGAATTGTAGCTGTTTTGCACCTGTGCCTTTAAATGCAAATGAGCTGTTATCCCCGCCCAATTTCCAAACATTTTGTTTTAGAGAAGTATAGTTAAGGTCAGATATCAGGATAAACCAAGTGGCAACCTCCCGCTCTCCCTTGGGAAGCTAATACGGAAGTAACTGAAACTGCAATTCATCAAGATTCCGCTAGTCCCGGCTCATATGGAGCAAATTTCCATTGAGCCCTCTGTTAGAATGGCCGACTTTACAGCAGAAAAAAAGGTGTTTACAGACTGGTACGATTTTGGTGTTTATAGCTAAAAATGCCCTTCATGACAACAGTGAGGTGGTGGACTCATATTAGGTTTTATTAAGTCTGCATAATTAAGGGCGTGGCCACTTGAGTGACAGCCAGGTCTCACTGGTTGCAGTCACTTCCCCTCAGCTGATTCCGGCTGATTAGCTGCTGAACTCGGCATATGCATTGTGTTTTTGTGTTGTTGTATGTGGCTTTACACAGTCAGTCGCCTTTTGAAATTATTTCCTACAATTATCAGATGATATGGCATGCTCACAAACAATTCACGTGGCCTCCATTTCCCAGCTGAGTGAAGTTATATACTCATACACCATCTCTATAAATGTGTTTGTGTAATTTAGGATCATTTATAATGTTCTTTAGAGCTGTAAAGCACTCCAGAATCGGACTGATTGATCAGCTGCAGGCTCTAGATCAGTCATCTGAAGTGTTGTAATACAGTGTTATACTGGATTTCATCAATAGTCCTGCATTTACTAACACACACACTATATCTGAAGTGTTTGGAAGTAATTTGCGTTTTCCTCCTGTAGAAAAACGTCATAATAATGTCATCTATATTTATTTATGATTTAGTTATGGGTGAAACAAAGACCATGCGGGTCAGGTTGTTGAAACAGTAGACTGCAAATAATTAATTCGTTATGAATTAATTAATTATTCATAAATAATTAATTCACCTTTGCCTATGACGACGATGCCATCGTCCATCGCAATGTTTCACATTAGACATCGTACGATGCCAAATTGGTCAACATCGCCCAACCCTAGTCCCAATATAACTATACATTGCATAATCGACAATGATTCAAAATTTGATATCCTGTAAAATATTATTTGGAAAAAAAAAAACTTTTTAAAATTGATTTATTAACTATTAATACTTTTTAAGTCCCCGTAGACACCCTGTGGTAATATGTGGCTGTCAATCATTATCAAGGGGCGGGGAAAACAGCACTGCAACATCACTATTTTCAGACATTTTTGATTAATCGTTACTTTTTATTTTTTTCTTTCTTTAATGATAGGATACCAACACTTATGTATACACAGACACGTATATAAACGCTTTAATATAAATCAGTTTTTTTTGTTTGTTTGTTTTTTTGCAGAGCAATAAAAAAAAATATTTAAACTTAATATAGAATTTCCAGACAAAATGGTGCTAACACATTGTAATTTATATATAACATCGACAGTGTGGAAGGAATAGGCTATGTATATATATATATATCATGTTTCTCTATGCATGAGCTGCTCTGTCAACCTGAACACCAGATATGATGCTCTGAATTTAATAAAGCACAATCAAACATCAGCACTCACACATAAATAGCTCTTACAGTCTTTATTTTCCCTGTGAGTGTCAGATAGAATAATGCAAACACCTGCGTTTCCATTGCAAGAGTCAAATCCCAGCGAATCACTCCTACATGTGTAGTAGAGCTTCCATAGAGTCAACATGACATCACAATTAAAGTGATTTACTAAACAGCGCATATCTCAGGTGTGCAATGACTTTTCTTAAGACGACATAATCAAAGCCTCCTATTTTTACCCCTTGTGTATTGTTCAAATGTACTGCAACAGCTAGCTCTTCTCACACGATTGCCCTCTGAAGATAAGCAGGGCTGAAGTTAAGCAGTTTCTGGATGTGAGACCACATTGGAAAGCTGTTTCTGCCGGAAGTGGTGTTAGTGAGGCCAGCAGGGGGCGCCTAACCTGCAGTCTGTGTGGGTCCTAATGCCCCAGTATAGTAACGAGGACTCTATACTGATCAGTGAGTGCATGCCGACTTTTGGATGAGACGTTAAACCGAGGTCCTGACTCTCTGTGGTCATTAAAAATCCCAGGATGTCATGCGAAAAAGAGTAGGGTTTAACCCCAGCATCCTGCGCAAATTTGGCTCACTGGCCTCTGTCCATCATGACCTCCTAACCATCCCCATAGTTGGCTTCATCACTCTGTCTCCTCTACACCAATCAGCTGGTGTTTGGATGAGGAGATCCCCCCCAAAAAATGTGTAAAGCGTGTCCAGTGAAGTGTCCAGTCTGGAGTGTCCAGAAAAGCACTATATAAATGTAAGGAATTATTATTATTATTATTATTATTATTATTATTATTATTATTATTATTATTAATAACATTATTATTAGTATTATTATTATTATTATTAATTATTATCATTATTGTTATTATTATTTATTATTATTATTATTATTATTATTATTTTATTTATTATTATTTGTTATTATTAATTTTCCATGCCACGTCAAGCATTTTATAGAAGCAAAGACTTATTCGGTGTGAATGAGCCCTAAGGGGCCGTTCACACAGACTGCGCTTTTCCTCTCCAATGAGCTACTTTTCTAATGTAAACATGCTCTGGACTGACATCGGTTTAATTAAAAGATCATACAGTGAGTGAGTCATCTAGTGTCATCAGAAAAACACTTGACTTTGGTATCGTCCAGCAAGTCTTCTGGCGCTCATATTTTTGATGATTAACCGAGCAGAAAACATATACCTCAGCCAACCACAGAAGCCAAGCGGAGAAACATATTATTACTTAACAGAGCAGAAACGCTTCCTCGGCTTTACTGGTTTGTTATAGGAATTCCATGACTATTCATGTGTTTCTGTTTGATAGAGACCGAAAGAGGACAAAAGCTGCCACTGAAATGCAGCATTATTCACTACACTTTATGTAAATATATGTAAATTAGCAGTTTTCAGTATTTTGTGATTCATGAGTTTTTATTTTTACCTGTTGAATTGCTTTTGAATTGCATTATGGGATCTTGATCTGTCTTCCAAAAAAATTTAACCTTCAAAAAAGTGACTATTATGAATATTTGTAATAGTGTGCAGTGCTGTATGGGGTATATGCCGAAGCATGCTAATAGGACTTTTATTTTGCCAGTAACCTGGGTTAAGCGCTTCCGGTGAATTGAATGGCAATGCAAAATCCGGTGCGTTTAAGGTCTGTTTTTTTTAAAAATCAGCGATCTCCACTAGCTGAGTGATATCCGATTTAAAGTGGGTCTCAGATTGTACAAGAAGCACTGCATTAAATTACATTTCCCCCGCCATCTCTTTATTATATGAGCATTTATTTTTCCCCAGTATATTCAATGGAGCTTCTGTGTTAGCCTGCCGATTCTGACGGGCGCGTGCGAGTAAACGGCTTTTTGTCTCGTTTTACTCTTGAGCAACCAAATAAATGTTAATTTTATTTAACTGAATGTATTTTAATGACATTACAGCATCGATGCTGTATAAGGAACCGTATAAAATGAGAAAAAGTTCACAATAACAGGTCACCGGAAGTGTATCAGCATGGGAACAGCGCTAGCTCGGCATATACCCTATTGTCTGTGTTGGTGTTGTATATTACACTACAGAAGACTTATTTCTCTAGAAATTATTTCTAATATTATTTCCAGCTACTAAAATGTCAATAAAAGTCACTTTGTTAAACTGCAGAGCGGAATTTACAGCATCAGAAGTGGACAGAGCAGAGATCAACATCCCATAATGCAGTTCACCACCAGAAATAAGCACAAAATACACAAAAATACTGAAACCGTTCACTAGCACATACTGATGTAGTAGGTTTATTACTTATTAAATGATACAATGATTCATTTTCTTGTCGGCTCAGTCCCTTTATTAATCCGGGGTCGCCACAGCGGAATGAACCACCAACTTATCCAGCAAGTTTTTACGCAGCGGATGCCCTTCCAGCTGCAACCCATCTCTGGGAAACATGCAATAACAATAAAAACATATTTAATCGTGCATGATGTTAACATTTAATAATGTTTTGCTAAAACGAAAATAGTTGTGTTTATTAAATATCATTTAATTGAACTGAGCTGCTGTATTTGCATTAATAAGCATAAAAAAAAGATGCACACTAAGGGCTGCAAAGTGGCTCAGAGTTTAGCACTGTGTCCTCACAGCAAGAAACTCACTGGTTGGAGTCCCGGCTGGGTCAGTTTTTGAGTTTGCATGTTCTCCCCGTGTTGGCGTGGGTTTGCTCCGGGTGCTCCGGTTTCCCTCACAGTCCAAACACATGCGCTATAGGGGAACTGATCAACTAAACTGTCCGTAGTGTATGAGTGTGTACGTGAATGAGTGTGTATGGGTGTTTCCCAGTACTGGGTTGCAGCTGAAAGGGCATCCGCTGTGTAAAACATATGCTGGAATAGTTGGCGGTTCATTCCACTGTGGCGACCTTTGAAATAGAGACTAAGCCGAAGGAAAATGAATGAATGAAAATGCACTAATAATACTGTAGCACACGCGTTGCTCGTAGTTAATATTAGGTAACGCATTAACCAGTGTAAAGTGTTACTGATTTCTGCTCTTACTGATGCTCAGATTAAGTTTACGGTATATAAATATTGTTCTAAATTAATATGAATATTGTTTTTAATGAATTTGTTGTTCATTATTTTTGTAATTTAACTTCTGTAATTAAAACCGCTTTAGTTTTGGGATAATTTCACTGTTATTTTGCTCTCTTGCTTCACAAAATTAGTTGCCACTATAAAACTTAGATCTAAACTTTAATAAATCGCAACACAGGTACTTTCAGTAAAATGTAAATTAATTAATTAATTCATTCATTCATTCATTTTCTTTTCAGCTTAGTCCGTTTATTATTCCATTATTATATTTACTATTCCAGCATATGTTTTACACAGCGGATGCCCTTCCAGCTGCAACCCATCACTGGGAAACATCCATACACCCTCATTCTCACACACACTACAGCCAATTTAGCTTACTCAATTCACCTATACCACATGTGTTTGGACTGTAGGGGCAACCGGAGCACCCGGAGGAAACCCACACCAACACGGGGAGAACATGCAAACTCCACACAGAGACCCAGCTGGGGCTCGAACCAGTGACCTTCTTGCTGTGAGGCGATAGCGCTAACCACTGCACCCCCATGACGCCCCATATTCAATTCAAATTCAAATAATATATACATTTTTAAAGCAGAATCCTGATTATTTGTGCCTTGCAAAAGATTTAAGAATGTTTTTTTTTCATTCCTTTTACACATTTTAATCTGTTTCATTCTCTTTTAAATTAGCATTTCTAATAATTGTTGTATTTAATGTTGCTTCTATTCATTCATATGTATGAAATGCGCTATATAAATAAACTTCCCTTGCGTAACGTCTGCATTGTTCATGCGTTTCTAATGAGTAATTTGCAAACTTAACATTTTTCTCAAGAAGTTCCTCTTAATCTGCACCCGGAAAATAATAAACAGCAGAATGTAATCACGTTTTGCATGTGAACGGACCAATCAGAGTGCATTAATGCAGTATAAGGAAGCAAAATGAGTGTATCTCTGGGGCAGAGCAGCTTATGATCTCCATTATTATGAGTTATTATGAGTTCTCTGCTGGAGTCTTTTACTGCGAGTTTCTCCTGCTCTTTAATGGCTTGATTTCATTCCCACAGTCATTAACATTATAACATGGAGCCTTCTCACATGTGTGTGTTTCTCAGCAGCAGAAGTCGTCATAGTTGGTAAACTCAGAGCGCAGTGAATGAGAGAGTACAACAAATATTTTTAGCATTGCTATTTATGTCAAATAATTAAAGAAAACTCAATGATAGTGTTATTAAGACTTTCAGGAAAAGCAATGGTGTGATACTGATAACGGCAACCTGTAGAGGGAATAACGTCAAATTCACTGTCTTGCCCACTAAAAATTGCATTACAAACAGCTTGCATAAGCAATTTTTTTAAACTATTGTTTGGAATAGTTGGCGGTTCATTCCACTGTGGTGACCCCTGGGCCTGGTTTTTCAAAAGGTTTAATCCGGATAAAATTGATCCGGATTTAGTAATCCTGTTTTTGCGATCCGTGATCACGTAATCCAGCTTACTTTTTGAGCCAGTTTTTTGAAGCAACATCAGACTGGATCAATCTGATCTGGATAGGAACTTTTCAGGATCACTAAATCTGGATAACCAGTGCTAAACAGGATAGGACATCACAATGTAGAACTATAGATATGTAAAGAGTAAAATAGCATGGGGTCAATAAAACTTTATTTTTATTTGAAATGAAAACTAAGAAAAATTAATAATTATTAAAATAATAATAATAATAATAAATAATAATAAAAACAAGAAAAACAACACCCCATCCTCTTTAAACAGTTTGCTTATCTGAGACCTACAACACTGTACATTGAGGATATTTATAATAAGTTTCAAATATAGATGTAAATAAAAAAAAGGCTTAATGTCAAAATCTCCACAATAATGTCAGACTTCCTCATCTGATGTGGGGAGACCAGCTTGTCTGAGCGTAGCCTTTAGGAGGCGGATCTCAAGTCATTGGTCTTGGTTTGCTGCAGTTTGGTCAGAGTCAGTTGTTCCTCTGCCAGATGAAGCTGTGCTTCTGCCCTTTCAGTCTCTTTTTGCAATTGTTGAAAGAGATTTAAAAAATCAGGCATTGCCATTTTTTGCATTTTTTTTAATTCTATAATCATTGCATGCATCACTAATAAATATTCTAAAAAGAAAAATATTTTCCATTGTGATGAATATATATATCAATTAGTGACAGAATAAAATTGATTGTTTTTGGTCAGTTTTGACAGCTGTTTGGGGGATTATTTTATGAGGCCAAACTCTTTCTACTTTGCTGTAGGCCTATACTGAAAGGCTGAATACGTTAAAGCCTATAATCACTACAGCCTGACGGATGAACAAATAAAATGAAAACCTTATGAATCAATAGTATATCTCGTAAGATACTGTATGATCCAAAAATAGTATTATTTAATTAATTTTTAAAGTTTTCATTACATTTTGGGCATGAAATCCACATTAAATCCACCCTTCTGATGGGATCCGTTTAATCCAGGTTTTTTGGATCAAAGTGATCCAGATCCTACAAAAAAGGTCTGAAAAACCCAAACTAAAGGTTTGATCCGGATCAAAACCAAGATTGGATTACGTGATCTAATCCGATTAGGTAATCGTTTTTTTTTTGTTTTTTTTAAAAACCCATTTTCAAGATTTGATCCAATCCCTTATCCAAAATCCTAGTGGATTACTTTTGAAAAACCGGGCCCTGATGAATAAAGGGACTAAGCTGAAGGGAAATGAATGAATGAATGTTAACAAAGATGAATAACTACTGTAATAAATGTACTGGTCATTGTTTGTTCATGCTAGTAAACACATTACCTTATGCATTATTATAATATGTGAACGTTTTCTTTAATACAGGGGTGAATTATTGCTTCAAATGTGAAATGTGGGTCTCTTCCTCAGGTTACAGAAGGGTGTTTGGGTCGTGTGGCAGCTCAAACCTGCAGGTCTCCAGCAGTGCTTTTCTGGTCCAGAGTCTCAGTCCTGCTTCTGCATCCGTCACACACTCCTCATCACAAACCTGCCCGCAGAATACACTCACACTGCCCTTCAATGACGCCAGGTACACAAGTTAATTTTTCATCTGCTCATCACTTCAGTTTCTTCATTTCAGGACACACCAATAAAGACAGAAGTCAAAAATGTACAATGGCGTGCCCTAGCGCAGTCAACATTTGAAGTGGATCAAAAAAGGTTTTAAAGTTGTCCAAAGAGAAGAATGGGTGTTGCTGGATAGTTTTAGCACAACTTTGATGAAAGACTTTGATCCACTTCTAATGTTGACTTGGGTCAGCATGGTGGCTCAGTGGTTAGCACTGTCACCTCACAGCAAGAAGGTCTCTGGTTCGAGTCCCAGCTGGGCCAGAGTTTGTTCCATTTGCTCTGGTTTCCCCCACAGTCCAAACACATGCGCTACAGGGGAAATTAATAAACTAAATTGGCCGTAGTGTACGAGTTTGTGTTTAGGTGTTTCCCAGTACCCGGAAGGGCATTGGCGGTTCATTCCACTGCAGTGACCCCTCATAAATAAGGGACTAAGCCAAAGGAAAATTAATAAATGCATGGTGTGCTTTCATATATGCCTCATTCTGTTTGGTTTATGCATGCCAGAGTTCGTTTGGCTTTTTGGTGCGGTTTGTTTGGGTGCGTTTTAAACCATGGAGCATTTTGTTAGTGATGAGAACGTGACCTGGAACTGATCCAAATACAAGAAGTACTTTACTCTTTTGGACTACACCAGCTCCCGGACCAGGTCTCAGACAAATCTGGATGTGTGAGAAGGTCCATTTAGCCTACTGAAAGTTTACTTCCATGTGTTGTGCATGTGACTTTCCCACTCATTAATTCTGACCAATCAAAATCCAGATCAGGAAATTTGATGATCTTATGAACATCTGGTGCAACCCTACCCGGGGTCATTAGTGACTAAATGAAGGCAGAATAGTGATTTTTAATTGGATCTCTCGCAGATATTTATTGTACAGAGAGTCTCTGGCCTCCACCACTCTCAGTCTGCCTTCATTTATTCTCCGAGGTACGGAGAGGTCTCCACTTAAGCCTGATTCACACGGGGCTTCAGCATCAACGCTTGACAGAGGGCGTGTCTGAAATTGGGGCTGACGCGATCGTCATAGCAGCGTCAGCCAATGAAATTAGTCAGCAATCGGCTACTGTCTGAGCTGGTGTATTTGCATACAGCGATCTGATTGGCTGACACTTAGTGATTTTTAATTGGAGCTCTCACAGGTATTTATTGTACAGAGAGTCTCTGGCCTCTACCACCCTCAGTCTGCCTTCGTTTATTCTATTAGGTAAGGAGTGGTCTCCACTTAGGTATCATACTTAAAGAGAAAAGAGCATCAGAATCGGGACTCTGTATCGGCCGATCACCCTGATGAAGAATTGATACACGGTATTGGCTGCAAAAATCCTGATCATAGAATCCCTAATTGTAACTATTTTAATACCTGTTTCGGAAAAACACAATCAAATGAAGGCAGAATAGTGATTTTTAATTGGCTCTCTCAAAGATATTTGATGTACAGAGAGTCTCTGGCCTCCACCACTCTCAGTCTGCCTTCATTTATTCTCCGAGGTACGGAGAGGTCTCCACTTAAGCCTGATTCACACGGGGCTTCAGCATCAACGCTTGACAGAGGGCGTGTCTGAACTTCGGGCTGACGCGATCATCATAGCAGCATCAGCCAATGAAATTAGTCAGCAATCGGCTACTGTCTGAGGTGGTGTATTTGCATACAGCGATCTGATTGGCTGACGCTTCCGTCGGTGCTTGAAAAGTTGAGAAAGTCCCAACTTCTACAATCTACAATGCAGTTCGGCATTGCCTGACGTCACCCAGGGCCGGCGCGTCCATAGAGGCGACCTAGGCGGCCGCCTAGGGCGGCTGTATAGAGAGGGCGGCATCCGCGACACCTCCCTTACCACCCGCGTCCTCAGTTGTGTCCGCGACACCTCCCTCACCACCCGCGTCCTCAGGTATATTCGCGCATAGACGACAGAATAGAGAGGGCGGCGTCAGCGACACCTTCATCAGCACCTGCGTGTCCTCAGTTATAATCGCGCATAGGGCGGCAGTATAGAGAGCACAGTGTCCGCAACACCTCTCTCCCTCAGCACCCGCGCGTCCTCAGTTATATCCGCGCATAGTGCGATGGAAAAGAGGTCCGCAACACCTCACTTCATTTTCATAACCGGTCACTTTCGTTTTCACATTGGGGTTGAGGGCGGCATGATCGTCCTCTGCCTAGAGCGGCAGTTCAGCTTGCTCCGGCCCTGACGTCACCCATTCTAAGTGAATAGGAAGCGTTGACACTGACGCCCTGTGTGAATAGGGCAATAGGTATCTCAGTATTGGTTGCAAAAATCCCGATCAGAGCACCCCTAATTGTAATTTTAATCCCTGTTTCGGAAACACACAATCAACCAACATGTCTGAAAGCACCCTAAATGAAGGCAGAATGGTGATTTTAACTGATCTCTTGCAGCAGGTGTTTGCTCTCCAGAGAGTCTCTGGCCTCCACCACCCTTAGTCTGGCTGAGACTCAGTCTGTGCGCAGCAGTAAACTGGACTGGCCGTACGGCTACAGGGTCCTTCCTCCACTAGGCCACCAAACAGCCAATCAGTTGTCAGAATCCACTGTCCCTGAATCCTCCCTATCCGAAAGCGTCTCCAACCCTGCATCTCTCCCTCATTACCTCTTCAAGGAAGACGGCAGTAGTCCGCGCCTCTCGGCCCGCTCAAAGAAGCGAGCGCTGTCTTTATCCCCACTATCGGATGGTTTGGGCCTGGACCTGAACTCCATCATCCGCACCTCGCCTACATCTCTGGTGGCCTACATCATCGGCTCCAGGATCTCACCAGCGTCCCACAACACCCCGTCCCCACTGCAGGCGGACGTCTGTGGGCATCTGCTGGGCATCAGGGGCAGCGGCATCCCTACATCCAGCAAACATAGCATCTCCGTCAGCGAGAGCCTCCGCATGCAGCCGCTGGAGGACCAGTTCACCAACCTACTAGTGGAGCAGCAGATCCTGCCAGACCCACAAACTGCAAAGGCCAGTCAGACCCATACGGTAATGAAGCATTACCTACGTTACTTGGGGTAAACTTAGAGGGCGCTTTCTACATTTGGTCAATTTAAAAATATGTAACTTAGGCTACACTTTGTTATACATTTCATGTATCCACTAGTGGGCGCTGTCTACACCTGTAGATCGCAAAAAATTAAATATCACTGTCAGATTTTTTCAGTATCGTGCAGCACTAATATGGTGTCACCTTTAACGCAGCTTCAGTTTGAGGTGTCCAGGATTGTCCGGTCCCCCAGCCCACCCCGGGGGCCACCACCGCCCTACAGCGCCCACCACCAGCAGCAGCAGCAGCCACGGGTTTTGCAGCTCCAACGGCCGGCGGGGCTTCAGCCGATGCTGGAGGAGGAGGAAGAAGAGGAAGAGTCCTGCGGCGGGACACACTGCTGCTGCTGGCTGCACTGCGGAGCCATCTACAGCCACCGGGACGCGCTGGTCAAACACATCGAGAAGATCCACGTGGACCAGCGCAAAGGAGAGGACTTCACCTGCTTCTGGGCTGGCTGCGCGCGCAAACACAAACCCTTCAACGCACGCTACAAACTGCTGATCCACATGAGGGTGCACTCGGGGGAGAAGCCCAACAAGTGCTCGGTGAGTCGACACTGACCTTATTTGTGTTATTCTGCGATGTGGAAGTGCGCTCGTTTCTGCCATTGTTTTAGAACTTGCCATTCAGTTTCCAGTGGGAGAAATGACTGAAAATAATAAACAGCAGAACACTCGCTCTACAAACAAGTGTGTATATGACTATACATAAAAAGTAGAATAATGTAAAGGCTCCTACACACCGGGACGCTTTTCGTTTGCGTTTATCGGCAGCGTTTTACGAGACGTTTTTCAGTATTCAAACCCAAGCGCTTTTCACTGGCAGAAGAGTTTAATGCTGTGTTCACACCAGACGTGGAACGCGCGGACAGGGGCGCAACTACACATTTACTGAGGGGTATGCGGGTTCAAATTTTGTGTGATCCCTCTTATTTTGGCAAACTAATAATTTAATTAATTAATTAATATTAAATAAAGACCAATTTTCAGATTAACCTTATAACTTTTGACATTATGTATGATTTGACAGTTTATTTTGATAAAAATAAAAACAAATCTAAACAGTTACGTCTACATGAACACTTTAGGCTGTGTGACTGCATGTTATTGCGTTAAATGATTTTGAATTAAACAATAACAATGTTATATTTGTATAAAATGCAAAAAAATGTTTTTTAACAAAACATATTTATTTATTTTTATTATTTAAAACTTTTAATAAGGATAATTTTATAAATAGTTTTGGCACAATGGCGCCCCCCCATGTGTGGCGCCCCTATGTGCGGATAAATCACGCTATTCGCGCATAAATTGCCATGTGAACATTTGAGTTTACTCGCTTCATTCGCGCGTCAAATTAACTTGAACAGATGCGGATTCGCGTGATGGGCAGGGCTTCTGTCTGCCCGGTGACTTTAGCTTCGTTGCTAACATGGATTTTTATGAAGAAAATAAGTGTTTATGTACTTTAAGAAGGCTGAAAGACAGCGTTAATACGTTTAGGGTCGTGTCTGAGTCCACTACATGCTTTCAGATGTGCATCCAGCTCTGTGAGCTCATAAACTCCTCCAGAAACTGAACCTGGATGACGGAGGCTTTCAACGGTGCTTCTGACTGAGCCAAGCCCAGTTTGATGACTTGTTGTCGGTGTCGCCTGGAGGATTTCCCCTGGGACTCCAACAACAAGCGATACGTCACAATCACGCCCCCACAAGAGCAAGCTTCTGATTGGTTAACGCGGCGCGAATGTCCGCTGAAGTTCAGATTTAAGCGCGTCAAACGTGCACAACGGTCAATTTGCCATGTGCGTATCGCACTATTCACACCGCGCCATTCACGCAATTCGCGTCATTCGCTCCGCGCCGTATCGCGCTGCAGGATGTCTATTCGCGCGTTTGCATTGACTCAACATGTAAATCACTCGCGCATGGCGCGTCTGGTGTGAACGCAGCATTACACAAGCTGAAGAGTATGCAAAATCACTCTTTTGACATTAGATGGCGCTACACAACGTTAAGCTTCTGACACCCGCTTATAACACAGAAGAAGAGGAGGAGAGGAAGTTCACACGTTTGTTTGTAAAGTTACTGGTGACTCAAACAAGCATGGATGGTTCAAGCAGCAGCTCCAGCTCTAGCGACGAAGAAATTATCATTGTTCACAGAGCAATAAGCAGCTCCACGTTCATATCGCCTCTGGACATCTGCTTCAATGTGCATTGACAGTTTTGCGCTTGAGCGCCTCCACGTGCTGTTTACTGTAACTTCAGCAGCTTCGTGCTCGTAAACAAAAGTGCCGATCTGATTGGTGGAGAAGATTTTGACGCGGTGCGTGAAAACAAAAAAACGAGCATGAGGCGGTTTTTTTAAAAATGATGTTATTGCGCCTGCCGTTTTGCACATTGGTGTGCACGATCACATTGACGCCCGTTATTTAGTCGCAAAACGTTAAACGTCGACGGAAAACGTGAGCAAAGAACGTCTCGGTGTGCACGGGCCTTAAGATGAAAATGTCAATTTGCAATGTCAAGCAGCAGAGCGAGCTGTTTTTAACGTCTAGAAATCAATAGAAGTGAATGAGAGTAGAAGTCTAGTGCCAAAAAACAATCCAGTGGCTGCGTTCGCTCGTATTTAAAGAATAAGGTAAATAGAAAAATAATGGAAATAAATGCTATATGAGCAATATCACACCAGTAGCATTGCGATATGGCTGTATATTGGCACTTGTGGGAGGCGCGCGTTGGCATCGCCCCTTAGTGCCCCCACCAGTACCAATATACATCCATATCGCACTGCTACGAGTGTGATATTGCGTTTATACAACAGTTTGAAGGCATAATTGTGTTTATAAAAACAAAATCAAACATGGATAGTCACTTTTGTATGAGGAACTACTTTCTTCCACGTTAGATTCAAATCATAAGCTGACAGTTAAACAGCTGAGCGTGCATATTTTAAACTGTAGATCTGTAGTGTCTGCTTTTTGCTGGCTGTATATGGGCGTAGTAATACACAAAGGGTAAAGAGGCTTTACGGGTGCTGATATTATTTGAATATATCACGGCTATCCGCCAATCAGATTAAAGAACCAGACAGAACTGTTGTATATATATATATATATATATATTAGGGCTGTCAAATAATTTAAAACATTAACGTAATTAATCACACTTTTTTTGTAATTAATCGCAAAACGGCGTATTTATTACAGAAATACAAACACAGGCATCAATGCCAATAACAACAAAAAATGATTTCCATGATGGATTCTAAGTGGACTACAAACACACACACACACACACACACACACACACACACTTTGACAACCCACACGGTATTGCACATGTGGTGAGCGAGGGATCCCTTCAGATTCATCAATGCGATGTCAACAAACTTAGCATCGTGTGTGTTGTGAAACATCACAACGATGAAGTGTGCAGATGATCGAGAAGGGATCGGGGGTGAGAAGGGTGCGCAACTTATTTGAGGACCGAGAGTGAAACGCGAGATTTCCGGGAGAATATCACTCGTTTGCGGGCATTATAAGACTCCTGGAACTTCCGGTAGACGTGGGATGTCTGAATATCACGTTTAACAACTAAAGTGAGTCGCGATCCAGCGGTACATCCTTTATAAACTGTCCGACGTGCACTGCTCTCTGGAGCTCAGAGGGGCGCACAGTGTGTGGCTGGGATTGTGCGGGATGTGCGTTTTCAGCAGAAGGAGGGCTGTTCAGAAATGCTAGGTAAAACACAATGTGGATATGGATCACTTTCATTCTGAAAAGCTGTTTTAACACTAAGATGTATTAGTGTAAACGGGAACTGAGTGTGTATTTTTCGTGAACGGGTTTGCTACGGGGCAGGGCAGAGGATCGGCAATGCCAGCTCAGCATCGTGTTGTCTAATGGCCATCGATTAATAAGAAAGCTTCCTTATTTTTAAGTATAAATCAATTTTTATTGTCATTGTCAAAATAAATAAGTCCAATGAAAAGTCTAATCCTTCTTTTTATGCATATTGAGTGTTTTTAAGAGAGAAATATATGCCAGCACTTCATTAAAACATCCATGCTTTAGGGTTGTGCATGAGCTGGTGATCGGGGAAGCAGGGTAACGACACCCTCCAGTGGTCATCATGGTAAATCTTGACGTTCATTTTTGCAGAGCTTCAGATGGGAATCCTGTCTGTGTTTGCTGCTTTCTCTCAATGCTGCATTCGGAGCTTTTCTGAAAACTCTCAGTCTGTCTTTGCTTCTCTTCTGAAGCTTCATATAATGACTCCTAACACGAACATTGCAATTACCAATAGGACATGAGCAAGAAAATAATCCCTGATGGTATAAGCTCCCCATGCAGGCTGCACCACGCTTCATCTGCCTGTTTGTCTCCTCTCCTTTAACAGCAGCCATCAGCTAATTAGTGATTATCCTTGATAATTGACATGTGCGTTTGTGCAATTATGCAGTTATTGAAAAGAGACAAAAGACTCACATCTAAAGCTCTGGCAGGGATATTTCTGCCTCCTGCCATACGCTTCAATCAAGCGGACAGAGTGCTGGACCAGCCAGAGACGTGTGACACGGTTTATTCACTGAGAGTTGGGGAAAAATGTTGGGGGAAAGTCATTTTCTCACCCTTGTGTTGTGCTGACAGCATCAGTCATTCAAATGAAGTATTTCTGCAAGATTAAAATCTGGAGAAACTTTAGAAAATTCAGTACAAACCTTGCACAAAAACATTGATTATATATAAAGATGTGCAGATTGTGCTTTCAGACCCCCTCAGACTTTCCTTGCGTTATTTTTTTCAGTTTCTTATATATATATTAATTGTCATAATAATATATTACATATACACACAAATGCAAATACACATATAAATGCAAAAACACAGAGAATAACAACACACACACACACACAGACATTATTCATCCGAAACGTACAGCAAAGTTTGCCCTAAGTAATGCATTTTATGATTAGCAAAATGTAGACAGCGCCCTCTACTGGATTTTTCATCTGAAACGTACAAAAAAAGTGTACCCTAAGTAATGTATTTCAGACTCACAGTAATGAAGACGACACCCTCTAGTGGATTTGTCATCTGAAACGTACAACAAAATCATACCCTAAGTAATGTATTACAGATTTTCAGAAATGTAGACAGCGCCCTCTATTGGATTTGTCATCTGAAACATGTACACTGTACAAAAAAGTGTAGCCTAAGTAGTGTATTTCAGATTCACAGTAATGTAGACAGCGCCCTCTTGTGGATTTGCCAAAATCGTACCCTATGTAAATCAGATTCACAGTAATGTAGACAGCGCCCTCTGGCGGATTTGTCTTCTGAAACGTACAACAAAATCATACTCTAAGTAATTTATTACAGATTTACAGAAATATAGATGGCGCCCTCTAGTGGATTTGTCATCTGAAACATGTACACTGTACAACAAAGCTGACCTTAAGTAACCTATCTCGGATGCGAAAAATGTAGAGAGCGCCCTCTAGTGAATCTGTCATCTGAAACATACAACAAATGCACCCTAG